GCTAACGTTAGCTTTAGCCATCTATTTCTAATAGTTTTTTCATAGGCTATAAACAGAGGTGGTATAAGTATATATATATTGTACTTGAGTAAAAGTAGAAGTACTCAGATCTTGTTCTTGAGTAAAAGTAGAAGTACTCAGAGTGTAGGAATACTCTGTTACAGTAAAAGTCCTGCATTCAAAATGTTCCTCAAGTGAAAGTAGAAAAGTATTCTCATCAAAATATAGTGAAAGTAGCGACAGTAAAAGTAGTCATTGTGCAGATTGGTCCATCCATCCATCTTCTCCCGCTTCTCCGTGGTCGGGTCTCGGAGGTAGCAGTTCCAGCAGAGAGCCCCAAACTTTCTTTTCCCTGGCCACATCAACCAGCTCTGACTGGGGGATCCCAAGGCGCTCCCAGGCCAGAGAAGAGATATAATCCCTCCACCTGGTCCTAGGTCTACCCCTTGGTCTCTTCCCAGCTGGACGTGCCTGGAACACCTCCCTAGGGAGGCGCCCAGGTGGCATCCTAACTAGGTGCCCGAACCACCTCAACTGGCTCCTTTCGACGCGAAGGAGGAGATTGGTCCATTTCAGAATAATATATATGATATGTTTTATAATGATTGATCATGAAAGTGTTCTCAAAGCTGGTAAAGGTGCAGCTAGTTTGAATGCCCCTGTGTGCCTTTGTATACTGCAGGGTAGCTTGTGGATTTACTCCAGGTGGAACTAAAGTCTGATTTAACACTTGATTATATTTCACATCATTCATCCACATCTGTGAAGTAACTAAAGGTATTAGATACATGTAGTGGAGGAGAAGTACACCATTTACCTCTGAACTGTAGTGGAGTTAAAGTACACAGTAGTAAAGTACAAGTACCTCGAAATTCTACTTAATTACAGTACTTGAGTAAATGTGCTTAGTTACTTTACACCAGTGCTTTTAACTGATGCGTTTACACAGTTGCTGTTGTTGCTGTTGTTGACAAACATAATGCTAGTTTGTTATTGATTAACATCAGTTTTCATTACATGACTTCCAACTGAAGGCATTATGAAAAGAAGACAGAAACAAATAGTGGTGAATCGAGGATTAAGTTCTGTAGAAATTGGTAGAATTGTTTACTTTTGCCACATTTTATGGATTTAGTTTTGTATAGTTTCGTGTCATTAAGAAAACCTCATTAATACACGTTTTTTAAATGACAGCTAAGCTACAAACCACATAAACAAAGCGTTAATTCAGATATAAATCTTACCTCGTTATATTATCAGAGTACGTCAGTAACAGCTTCGCCGCGTCCAGAAAGACTTCATCTGAATTCTCACATAAAGTCGTGACTGCTGGAGAAACAGACATCTTTATTACACAAACCGACAGTTTTCACAAGCTGAGCTAACGATGCTAACAATGCTAATAGATATTGGGGTCCCTTTGGGGTTTTAGGTGACTTATCAGCGCCTGAATACGTGTTTATAGTTTAAAAAATACGTAAAATAAGACTTTCTTCTCCCTGCTCTTTTCCATCATGGCCTACAAACACTGCGTAAAGTGTACATGTGTTTTATAATAATTGCCATGAGTGTAAGAAACTAATAACTACATATACGCGCTAAACCAATCAGTCGTTCAGAATTGGTACCTATAAGCATTTGTAAGGCAGTTTGAAGGATAAACTCGTTTATTTTCTTTGTTATTGGATTTATTAACAATTCTCAGGTAACTTTGAAGTAGTGTTTGGCCGAGTAAGTAACACACGTATGTTTTTGGAGGGTATTTCAATTGTATCTGTGTGCATGAATCCCTGTTATACAAACGAAACTACAAGCTAACTGTATAGACATGCGTGACTGTGAAAAGACTGTCATTAATATGACTATAAGAGGGGAGTGTTAGCTTCAGGGTTATCTAATCAAAACTTAACTTAGGGAGAGCCTCAGACAAAGTATACAGCCTGTTTGTTTTTAAGAGCAACCAGAATAATAGAGAGAATTTTGTGTTTCCTGCAAATCTACTGACACTTCATTCCTGTAGGTGGAGCCAATAAACCTCACAGAAGAAGAAGGAAACCTTTTAAAGAAGCAGCATGTCTGCTCTGTCACTTTCCAGCAGGACTAAACTCCAGCTGAGACCTCACAACATCCGGGTCCTTCTTCAAAAATGTTTCAGTGTTTCTCCAAACCAAGACTCCAGACACTGCAGCTCTGGAACGCAGAAAAGGAGGGTTGTGATCACTGGGATTGGGTTGGTTTGTCCTCTGGGAACAGGAACTACTTTACCCTGGGAGCACTTGATTAAGGGACATAATGGGATTGTGGCTCTCACCTCAGAGCAGTACAGAACCATCCCCTGTAGAGTGGCTGCTCTGGTGCCCAGAGGAAAGGAACCGGGGCAATTTGAGGAGGAGAAGTTTGCATCTCGAGGGGAAATCAACAGCATGTGTCCGGCTACTGTGATGGCACTTGGAGCCGCTCAACTGGCTCTGGAGGACTCCGGTTGGACCCCGACGACCACAGGTGGGAAATAGTGGAGTGCAAATACTTCGTTACTGTAATTAAAGGTCACCTATTATGCAAAATCCACTTCTTCTTGTCTCTTCTACATCAACATGTGTCCCCTCTTCTTCATGTCTCTTCTACATCAACATGTGTCCCCTCTTCTCCATGTCTCTTCTACATCAACATGTGTCCCCTCTTCTCCATGTCTCTTCTACATCAACATGTGTCCCCTCTTCTCCATGTCTCTTCTACATCAACATGTGTCCCCTCTTCTTCTTGTCTCTTCGACATCAACATGTGTCCCCTCTTCTTCATATCTCTTCTACATCAACATGTGTCCCCTCTTCTTCATGTCTCTTCTACATCAACATGTGTCCCCTCTGTGGAAAGAGACTGAAAGATTCAGGAACAAAGATTCTCTCTTTTTGTCCTGATCCATTTCTATAAAAAACCTGTCTGAAAATGAGCTCATCAGATTTTGGCCACTTTATGATGTCATAACAATGTTTAATTTTTTATAATAGGGGACCTTTAAGTCCATGTTTCTGGTATCAGTACTTTACTCCAATACTTACTTTTCTGACCACTTTTTACTTTGACTTCAGTTCTTACATGTTGAACCCAAATACCTGTACTTTCTACTTCTCACATGTTGAACCCAAATACCTGTACTTTCTACTTCTCACATGTTGAACCCAAATACCTGTACTTTCTACTTCTTACATGTTGAACTCAAATACCTGTACTTTCTACTTCTTACATGTTGAACACAAATACCTGTACTTTCTACTTCTTACATTTTAAACCCAAATACCTGTACTTTCTACTTCTTACAT